GATAATGATCAAGGGAGAAACAAATATTGAATTAAACCCCTCCTTAGCTCTGCACTAGACCTTGGCAAGTTTCAGGCTTCTCCTCCCATGACGTTTGTGCCACCTCTGTGGTGCGGTCAACAGCATGATATTGTTACTCATTTGAGTTTCTACAGAGCATGAAAGAGTCCTCCGTGGAACTCAATAATGTAGCAAGAAATAAATGAATAACTGGATGAATACAAAGTTAATGGATTAAATGTGTATAGTATACTCGCAAAATAAGCATTCAAAGACACAGCGCACTCTCATTCACCTGAACAATTTACTGCACATTTGTACACGAGGCCAGATCCAGTCTGTGGAGCCTGGGTACGTTCCCCAGCACCGCCTCACGCTGTGACCATCTGGTCCATTAGATGTAAATACCGATTTGGCAGATACTTCAGGGGTATGACAGCAGTTCTGGAATAAGGTTGAAAAATGCTACCGTCCACGAGATATATTTAGAGCCACTCATTCTCTTATTAAAATTAAAAACATAACATTGTCCTTCTTGTATGTTAAAAACATCTGAGTTATTTTTACAAATGGAAAATATGCAAATGGTCTGAATTTTCATTTTGAGAGATTACTGGACCTCCATTTTTTTGTCACTTCTAAATACCTCTGAAAAACCATCTTCTCGTGGGAGAATCTTCTGCCAATTTAACACATAGAAAAGTCCTCTGATGATTAACATAAAATAGAATATGTCCTTTTAAAATGTCACAGCATTAAGTCAATTCTGGTACTTTTTAAAAAACCTATTCAAATGTACAGTGTTTCCAGCCAATGTATGAACTTATCCCCATTTGCAAAGGTCACCGACGTGAACCCTTATTTTTACACATAAAATGACGGATGGGACTACAGAAGCCATCAAATAAGTATTCATTTTAAATCAAGCTTTTTATTTGTCCATTGGAGATGACCTTTGTTCTAATATCTATAATGCTTTTCAAAAGGAAAGGTATTTCTGTAGTTGTCCATTAAATCATTCATTTGTGTCTATTCAGTAGCTGCTTTAAAAAAAAAATAATGAAACTATCAAGCTGCTCAGAACAAAGGTGCCTTCTGATTGTCAGCTCCATATTCTAAAAGAGCAGGTTAATTTCTCTGAATCTCACAGTTGGAACTTTCTCACACTAACTGGCAGTTTCCATCTAGTGATCAAGGCAATTGACTAAAATAAATTATACAGAAAGCTGAAATTCTTAATAGTAATAAGGCCCCTTCATGAGATAATCACACCAGCAAAAGCACTCATCTGTCAGCTGCAACCCTACGGGGTCTTGAAATTATCTTATAAAAACTATACCTCCAGAAATGTCTTTGTTTCTGGTCTCATGACAGGGCGAATATGGCACTAGTAGGCATAGTAGTACTAGGCACAAAGGAGGCGCTCCAGATAAATTTATTAGTTTAATTATTACTAATTAAACTGGAGCCGCTGCTGATAGCATACTAGCAGTCAGTGCTGTTTATAAAGCAAAAGACCAGTGAGGTTCTCATTTCAATACAGTCAACCAACAATTATTTAGGAGCCGTTATTATGCCTGGAGCCAGGCATAAGAAAGTAGCATACTGTATAATTCCAGCTCCTCTGGAGTTTAAGGTGAGTCAAGCTCATGTAGACAAAATAAACGGGGAAAAATAATCTCTAGGCAACATTCCACTTGCTATAAAGCAATTGCTAGAAGAAATTCATGTGCACTAGAATAGTAAAGAGGTATTTCTTATGAACCTTGGCTTAGGCTAGGGCGTAATGGTCAGGAGTAATTTGGTTAGGCAGAACGGAGTAAAGACCTTGCAGATGAATTTCCCAACCGAGCAAAAATCTGGTGATGGGAAAGAATAGGGAAATGATGATTGCTGTGGCACGCCTCCCCAAAATCTTTGCAACCATGTTCATGGTCAAGGCACTTAATGGCCTGGATGTTAAGAACGTGAGAGACTGACAGCTCATAATCGAGTTTCCCTTTCTTGGCGTCCTTTCAGCTGAGGAGACCCTGAGCCATATCCAATGCTTAAGGGATTCAGAATTGTAAAGTCATATCCTTTTGCCCAATTCTGAAAAGACCGACTGAACTATATTCAACTGTAGAGAATCTACATTTATTAATTCAACAGATCTAGGTACTGGTCTAATGTTGAAAACCCAGCAGTGAAAAAAAAAAAAAAACCATGTCTCTTCTCTCATGGATCTGACATTCTGGGGTGGAGAACCTGAATAAAATGTAACAGAATGTGAAGTGAGGACTTGTGCTAAGACAGAAAAGAAGCCAGGCAAGAGGAGAGGTATTGTGTGTGTGTGGTCGTGTATGGGAGGGCGTTAGACAGGGCAGGCCTAGAAAAAGTCAGATGACATAGGAGCACAAACTGAGTCAACTGATGGAATGACCCACACTAGTATCTGGGGCAAGAAAATAGCAATCAGAAGTAACAGTGATAACGTGAAGAGCCTGAGATAGAAGTGGGTTTGGCATGGTTTGGGAAGAGGGAACGAGATCAGGAGAATAGGGGCAGGAGATGGAGGGGTCAGATCACATGAGCCCTTTTAATGTATACCGTAATGTAAAGATACTAGAGGAAAGATAGGTTGTGGCATTTCTTTGTTTAAAGCAGCGGTTCTCCACCTGTGGGTCACCAACCATTGAGGGTCGAATGACCCTTTCACAGGGGTTGCCTAAATACCTCCTGCATATCAGATATTTACCTTACTATTCATAACAGTAGCAACGTTACAGTTATGAAGTAGCAACAAAAATAATTTCATAGTTGGGGGTCACCACATGAGGCACTGTATTAAAGTGTCACGGCATTAGGAAGGTTGAGAACCACTGGCTTAAAGCAATTGAAATGCCCCCAAATTAATCATGGGATTAGATTACGGCCCATAAAGAGAGGTGTTATTTAAGAGAGCAGTCGTGTCTGAAATGCCTAATTAGAACAGTTAGGGTAGTAGCCTGATCCTACAACACAGTCCGTTCCCCACGGAGGCTTTTGTGGAGAACAGACAGAATGGAACTCTCCTCCCCCTGAGCATTTCTGAACAGCAATTTTGTTCCTTAGCATTTCTCTTGTCTCATAAAGTTCAGATAAATTTGTCCACACTTCACATTAATTTTTGTGATATCGACTCCCATTCTTTATTTCCAGAGACTACGGAGAGTAATTTATTCCACCAGCCTCTTCCGACGTGCAAATTAATTCCCAGGGCTGAGTGGGCACGTCAGGTGAATTTAGCACATTAGCAGTAGCTCTCTGGTTTTCTGTGCAGATGGAAGGGAACTATGATCCAGATAATTCCAAACAGCTACCTCCTTTCTAAACTTTTCCTTTATTTACATTTTGAAAACGTGTGTGAAGTGATAATTCAGGCAAGGACCCTATCTTCAAGGAGTTTACAGTCATGTGGGTGAACTAAGACAGATACACAATAAGACAAAAACCAAGTTCTTAGTAACAGGGATCATGGCAAGGTGCTGTAGGGACTCCAGAAATGAGAGGACTGGGGCCATAAACACATGTGTGAGGTTTCCATCAGGGACATTGCTTTAGCAGAAAGTCTCAGTCTCTCTCCCTCTCCCACCGGCGTGCTGAATCCATTGCTTTTTACCTATACACAAATACTTTTTCTTCTTTGAAAAATGGATATAGACCATCCAAAACAAAGGCATTATAGATCTCCTTACATTGTTAAGTTACATCTATTTCCACACTGGAGACCTGGCTGATGTCGCACATGTGTGTGTCAAGTTATGGATAGAACAAATGTAGTCGTAATAAGAGTCAACCTGAGGAGTCCTTGGGATATGGTCTTCTGTACCTCAAACCTGTGTTAAAAGTTTATCTGCAGGTCTCTAACCCAACGGCTGCCTTCTGTAGAATTCACATTGCGTGGAAGAAAACACTAAGAAACAAACCCTGATTGGTCACATGGTTAATTCCCGACATCAGAATGCAACGTTCAGCCTCCGGTGTCTGAGGAGGTCGTGACAAACTCCCCTTTCTTTCACGTCTGTAAATATGAATGCAGGTTCTGCTAGAGTTAAATGATTGCCTGGTTCTTAGTTATCCTCAAAAGAATCAATAGGAGGGCGGCACCTGTGGCTCAAAGGAGTAGGGTGGCGGTCCCATATGCCAAAGTGGCAGGTTCAAAACCCAGCCCCTGCCAAAACCTGCAAAAAAAAAAGAGAATCAGTAGGAGTTCTTTCTGAAAAAAGTACAAGTCCTCTATCTCATCCTTTTAAACTCTGGATCACTGGTCCAAAAATACCAGAGTACAGAATTGGTGAATATTCTTAGGGCGTAAAACATAGTTACCAACGAAGTCACGTGAGGAGCTGTGACGTGGTCTGCCTTGCATGACAATGTGTTTAATTTTCCAGCCTGCTGCTTAGGTTTTCAAAAACTCTTAGGATAAAGGAAAAGGAAGTTAGGCCTTGTTTGAAATGAGTAAACTTAAAAGTGCAAAAGCTTCTGCTCTTAGGAATTCAGAATTTCTCACCAATAAACAGAATTTCATAGAACAGACAGGCAAGTCTGTTTTCCCCAAATCCTGAACATACAGTATTAGACATAATCCTATTTGAAATGCAAAAAGATAAAAATTTAGATAGGTTGATTCTCCTAACAAAACATTAGGCTCTTTTCAAAGCTATTTGATCAAGTTAGAAAAATTCCGCCGAGAGTTTTGCTGTACTATTCAGAGTACAGAATCACTAAAAAAGCCAGCGTGGTCTCATTTCCTGTATAATGTTAGATATAGTTTAACAAGTAGGAGGCATAGATGGTCTTCCAAAAAAACCTGTTATCACTTTTTATGATACCTAGGTCTGGGTAAATAGCATTGGACTTGAGCATTTTCAAATCCCCATTACCATAGCCCTCCTCTTGAAGCATTTAAAATGTAGATGTAAAAACTGCGTTTGCCTTGATGGGAAAAATTACTCAGACTTTCTTGTTGGTTTTCACAGCAAGAGAAACTGGGTGATATCTGCTTCTCCCTCCGCTACGTCCCTACTGCTGGCAAACTGACCGTTGTCATCCTGGAGGCTAAGAACCTGAAGAAGATGGATGTGGGTGGTTTATCTGGTAAGCCTGTGGCGTTTATTGATTTTTTTTTAATGCTGTTTCATCACGGATACCAAATGCCTAGCACACATGCTGTGACTCCCCACTCCTTAATTGATCGCAGCTCTCTCTCCCACGGAGCCTGGAAGCAGTCTCAGAATTCATCCCAACGCAGGGCCCCGGGAAGCCGCTCTCAATTTATCGGAATTGGCATAGATGATGAAATCTGTCTGCCTCCCTCGTAGCCAAAGTTTCAATTGTCGTTTCTATGACACTGAAAGCTGAGAATTGCTGCCTCTCTGTTGAGAGCCTATAACAGACCGGAGTTCTGTTGAATGTTTTGGTCAAAATTAACCCATGAGAGGAAAAATAGGGTTTTATTTCAGCCTGATGCATTAGGTATTTGATAACCTAACAGAGTTTTACAATGCCATTTTATCAAAGACTCAGCATTTCAGACATACATGCATATTAAAAATATCTCGGTTTGAGAGTGAATCCCCCCTGGCCAGGCACTTAATTCTATATTTTATGTTGGGGCTGGGGGATGATTTGGGGATTGAAAGTTCTGTACAACTCCATCTTAGTCAAGTAAGGTAAGTCAACTATACTCCGGCTCCAAAGCAAAGTCAATCCAAGGACTTGTCATTTCCACGGTTGAACATAATTTTTCTTTTTCTCCGTATGATTAAATCAATTACATTTTTAATTTTCCAGTAAATCATTAAAGTGTGAGGAATTTTCTTGCTATGCCACAAGGTCGCCGTACATCGACTTTGGTTGTCATTGTTTGTGGCTGTGGAATGCCAACCAACAATACTGGTTACTCAGTACCTTCTCCCACAAAAAAATACTGCAAACTTTAAAAGGTCATTCTAACATGGCATGGCGGTTTTATATTCTACAGCATAACGTCTCAGGGTTAGAGCTGTGTTTCTGTTCACTGATCCCCTAATTTGTCAACCAACTTCTCCTGGTATTTAGGTCTATTTCTTCTATAAGGAAGTCACCTAGGGAAGCCACACTCACCCTTCCATGTCACTCACACCCTGGTTAGTAGCCTGCTGCTTCTGGTGCCTCACAGCATAACACAGCATCGTGAAGGCAACGGGTCCTGCTTCCTCCAGACACAGAAAGCATATTTAATGTGACTACGTGAAAAGCAAGCAAAGGAATTTTTAACTACAACCACATTCCATTCCCAGATTCCTACTTTGTATTTGTAGGTAGCTTAGACTTTTTCCTGTCCTCTGGTTCAACAGCTGAGCACATTATATGTTCCTCTGTATCCTCTCTCTCACGCTCCGTTCCAGACTTCCCTGCCAACCGTCCCCTCACCACCTATGCCAGCACTCCCCTAGTCTTCCTCCCAAGTAACCCTCCATCCCTCTGCAGAGTTACAGAGTAGCTTTACACAAAGCACTAAAGAGTCAGAGTCCCTCCTTTGTTGTAACTTCTTATGAGGTCCTGGAAATGAGCTCCCAAGTCTGAGATGGATGTTCTGACCACCACTGGTTAATCAGTTCGCTGTTTCTTTCCATTCTGACTCCTCCTCCGACATCCCTCCTTTCCAGGTTAGTGGCGCTGGAGAGACTCCAGGCATGTTAGAGATTTGGCCAAGGAGAGCTGAGTCTAGCAGGATAAGTGTATGTGGCTTACAGTCCCAGACGCCCGGCTGGGTCTATCCCAGTGAAGGAAGGGTGTCTGGAATGTCTCTACCAGCCATTGCTCTGACTCAGCATTATGGCATAAAAAAACAAAGCCAGGGGTCATACCTGATTCAGTATTCATAATTGCTCATTATTTTTTCTAAAGAAAACCAGCAAAATTATATTAGCTTCAGGACCCACTCCTAAATTTAAATTACCTTGAGTGATTTCAATACTTAAATATTAAATAAAGGTATTTGAAGAGGCTTAATTTTAAGGGCTCCCTGCTGCCTCTGCAAGGAAGCCATAGTTGCTTAATGGCTTATATAACGTGGATACTTCCAGCCTACAACATACAGCCTAGCTCATGTTAACCAAATCCAACAGCACCTCTTCTCCAAACAAGCTAAGAGAACTGCTGCCTCCGTGCTTTCCTGGAGTTATTTCCTTCACCTGGAATTCTTTCCATCCAACAGTGTCTAGCTAAACCCTGCCCATTCCTCTGGCCCAGCTTAAGTATCATTTCCTCCACTCATTCAACAAATATGCATCATGGTTCTGGGCACTAGGTTCATATTAGTGGAGAAAACTGAAAGACCCTGCCCTCCTGCAGAGTGCATTCTAAAGGAGGGAGCCAGACAAGAAGCTACCACGTAGGAAAGCCACACAGTCTACTAAGAGGTAACAAGGGCCACAGGGCAGCAAAACAGGATGGAGGGTAGGAAACTGGGGAGCAATTTAAACGTGGTCACCAGGCGGTGGCATTTCAGCAACAACTCCAAGGGGTAAGGAAGCAAGTCACCGGGTATCTGGGAAAGAGAATGTTTTAGGGTCCGTCCCAGTAGAACAAATCTTTGCCTTTTTAAAATGCCTCTAGTAGTTTGTTTACGCCTCTAAACCCCACACTTCTCTCTCACTAGCCTATGTTCTGTATTTATGCCTCCCACAATGCTCTGACTGACTGGTCGCACTGGGCATCGCTACTGAATGAATAATGAATTATTTACAAAGGAGCTACAGCCTGAAAAAACAAGTCTTGCATTTCAGATTTGTTTAACCTACTTACCACTAAAAGAACTTTAAGCACTTGGATGGTTTGTCTCAAAGTAAGTTGACCTTTGGTCAACCAGGAGACCAAAATTATATAAGATCACTCCAGGTAATTCAAATGCCAGGCTGCGTTTGATGGAAATGCTGGTTAGTTGGAACTAAAGTGAGTTTGTTTGCCAGGGTTTAAACCCCGTCTGCTACTACTAGCGATTTGACAATGGACAAGATATTTGGCTTTTCTAAGTTGCATTATCTGAGAAGAGGAAATAATGAAAGGATCTTGTTGACGAGGTGATTATGAGCAGTAAATGAGAGCCGAGGGCCGGCACAAGTACACGCTCACGAAATATCACTGCGATTATTTCTGTTAGTAACTTTATCAAATCTTGGACTGAATATACAACCAATGGATGTTTTAACCGATTGCTTGATTCAATGTGGAGTAAAAAGTTCATCTGTCTGTGTGATGAGATTAGCTGATTAATTCTGGCAAATCAGCAAATTATATCTGTAAGTCTGTATCTTCTATAGACCCAATAGTGAATTAAGATGCAAGATGCATATTAACAAAAAATTAAAGAAAATAAGAAATGGAAACTTTTTTATTTTTTTTACATGTACATGTTTTTATTATGTTTCCCCTTTTTGCCTTCACAGAATTAAAAAGGCTTAAAATTTGACCACAATAACAATGTTTAAGATAAGGGCTAGAAACAAAAACCTGGTAAAGAACAAAGGAAGATAAATACATTCCGAAATGGAAACTTTTTAAAAAATTATTTTTACTACACTCTGACAAGGTCACTTTATTTTCTTCCTACGGTGTTAATTCAAAATGCACTGTGCAGAGATTTTGTATCTGTTCATCTATCCACATGACAAGCAAAGCAAATGCCAGCCCTTCACACTTTATACAGATGAATCGGACTGTTCACATCTCCATAGTAGATCTTTGCACTTGCATTCTTAATGTTCCAACTCTCAAGTTCCTGTGAGCAGTGGTGGAGATTTCTTGATCTAACCACAGTCATGGATCTATTAATGACAGGGATACAGGCTCGGCGCCTGTGGCTCAAGCGGCTAAGGCACCAGCCACATACACCTAAGGTGGTGGGTTCGAATCCAGCCCGGACCTGCCAAACAACAATAATGGCTGCGATCAAAAAATAGCTGGGCATTGTGGCGGGCGCCTGTAGTCCCAGCTACTTGGGAGGCTGAGGCAGGAGACTCGCTGGAGCCCAGGAGTTGGAGGTTGCTGTGAGCAGTGAAGCCATGGCACTCTACCCAGGGTGACAGCTTGAGGCTCTGTCTCAAAAAGAAAAAAAAAAAAAATGACAGGGATACATTCTGAAAATCGTGTCACTCAGCACTTTGCTTTTGTGAACATCAGAGTGCATGCTTATACAGAGCTGGGTGGTCTAGCATACTGCACCCCTAGGCTGTCTGCTGTCACTTGTTGCTCCTAGACTGAAAACCTGTGCAGCATGTTACTGTACTGGATCCTGTAGGCAACTCTAACACAGTGGTATTTGTGTATCTAGACATACCGAAGGTATGGTAAAAATAGAGCGTTATTGTGTTATGGGACCACCACTGGATATGAGGTCCATCCTCGACCCAAATGTTGCTATGCAGAGCACGGCTGTGTTTATATTGAGATCTTGAATCTTACCGTCTGCACCACCGTTCTTAGGAGCAAATTAGTACGGAAGAGTATGTGTGGTCCTTTTGCCCTAGACTGCAAGAAACTCAAGCCCTCTGCCTGGTAAACATATCTCAGTATCCTCATACCCGTTATGCATTTCTGTGCATGGAATAAATCTTCCTTCAAATAATAATTAATTTCTATTTGGGAAATTGAGAAAGAGTACGAAGAGGTCTAAAAAAGTGGAGGCACTGGAAAAGTTGAGAATTTTCAAAGGCGTGACGGGTATGTTTCCTAGTTCTGAGCTATCTTATTGTTTGAACAATAGAGTTCAAAAGTTTTATATACTCAGATTTACACTTGTGTAGACTCCCGAGTCAGACAGTAATCAAATACCTTGTCCTTTATCTTTATTTAAATCATGGCAATTACTTCACTCAAGTTCTTTTTTTTTTTTTTTTGTGGTCATCTCAGAAGTTTGAAACTTCTGGGAACATCTTTAATGAGGACTATCAGGAGGATGACTTGTTTGTACTTTCTGTCACAAATTAAATGAAATTCTGGATTTTTTCTGCTTACATGTCCTTCAGTGGCTGTTTAAAAAAAGGAAGACCAAACTTCTCAATCAGAAAAATGGAAGTGATTATGGCTTTTAAATTGTGATTAGGTAGGAATTC